AAAGAAATGATCTATGAGGCCTGTTGAACAAAGACATGTCCAGAATTCTCTGCCTCTCAGTACCGGACAACACATACAGACTCAATTACTCTCACTGTGACATTATGACATACAGTGACAGTTGACTGCCTCCTGTGAAACTGCTACAGTCGAACTGGAGCAGATTAACAAATCACCATACTTAAAACATATATACATATAAAATATATATTAATAATATGTTACATTTCCAGGCATAATAGCATTGAAATAAAGTAATTCTTGACATTGAAGTTCTAGAGTACTTAATCCTCTGTTAGTAGAAATCCATTTTAACAGCAAGAGCTTTCCTACTGTGAATAAACTGCTAGCAGTTTGGTCTTACCACTGTTTTTAAATGAATTTATTTAGCACTGGTAGAGCCTTTATTTTGTACCATCAGATACACACAATTAAAAAAAAAAAAACAGTAAAGAAAATGATAATTATTATCCCACAGTCATTTGTTCCTAATCGTCAGAGTAAAGATGTTTCAATAATTGTTCAATGGAACTTGCTGCCACTCCTCAGGATTAACAAGCCCAGGTGCAGAGCTCCAACCCCCACTTACTCTAAAGCTACTACTTACACTAAGGAACAGCACAATTCTCACAGCACAGTTAACCTGAATATGAATACCTCATGAATTAGATGCTGTTATAACTCATTAACATAACGACTAACAGTTCTAATACACTTCCCATATTGTTTAGGGAAGTGTATGTACAATTAATAAATTTTGGTTCTTGATACTGAATGACAAAAAAAGCTATCTGTTAGTAAGTCATTCAAAATATGTACCCACTTTTACTGATCAGGACTGGAGCACATCCTTCCCTAGGTTATTATGGGAAAACAGCAAATTTAATCACCAAAATCTGGTTACACTACATAATATTGGAAATATAACAAACTAAAAGCATAACCTTGCCTTGTTTGTAGGGAAGAAATGTTAGAGAGAAGAAATGTATAAAATATAGGATAACAAGGGAGATGCCGTTAGGACCATTAACAGACTCTAAGAAACATACTGAAGGATTTAGTCAGGAGAAAATGTTTGGTCTGCCACAGACTCTATAGCTCAGACAAACAAAAAAACAACACAGGATTGACCACATTTCAGATTCAACCCAGAGGGACTTAAAATCCTGAAGTTGGTAAAACTTGCATCTGTCGTAGTTTCCTTATAAAAACCTCATGAAAATCACCTGGGACTCTGGGAAAACTTATTTACCCTGAAGTGAGATTGTAAGACAATTGCTCAGTTGCATTAGGAAGGTGAATGCTGGATTCAAGCACAATGAAGAGAGCGCTAAAAAATTTCTTCCAAGTGTGCCTCTGAGACCCCAGCCTTGAGGCAGCAACTGGACTCCATTCAGTTTGCAAAAATTTGCCAGCACACTGAACCCAAGGAGCACTTGCCAAAATTGCAGTATGGTAACCAGTCAGCTACAAAGTGCAACAAGACAAATACTGACAAACACTACTCAGATTCTTTCCTGTTGTAAGTTGTTCATATTTCCAGTTAAAAATCAGATCAGGACAGGTGATTCTTTTTAAAGAATGTTAACCACCAAAAATTACTTTCGATGAAATACAAAAAGAAGATTCTTAAAAACATGGATAATGTTAAGCCACAGTGGAGATTTCTGACTGAAAGCAAAGGAGATCTCCCTCTTCTGTCACCTAAACCCATTGCTTTCCAGTTAATAGAAGCTTCTGACGTTACAGATAAACCTCAAACTTTCCTTAAGACAAAACAGAGAAAGCACTACAAGGCGCTGAAAGATTATGAAAAAGTAAAGTTAAGGATGCCTATATGTTTCAGTGAAAGCTCATGCATCAGTTTACATATCCATTTTCATTTGCACACACTGCATTCAAATAACAGTAAACCTGCTATTTCTTCAGCCAGAAGCATTTGGGAATTTTCTTAAGTTGGACCTGTTCTAATCCGAGGAGTTTTGCTTAACTTTTCATTCAAGTTTTCTGCTCCCTAAACTATTTATTCAAATAATATCGAAAAATCTTTTAGATTTTTTTTAACCTATCACACAGATCTTTTTCATCTGAGGACTGGGTTTTAGCACACGCTGACCCAGACAGGTGCACAGACTCAAGAACCATACTCTCTCCTAAACTGGCTGAGAAGATATTTCAGTTCAAAAGGCCTACAAGCCTTGTTACCCTAGGTCTCAGCTACTACTTGGTGACTCTAAGATGAACATGGTAGAATCCATCTCTGCTTACACATCCTAAAAAAACCTCATATCTATAAACATAAATGCATTTGACCATTGTGACCAATACAAAACATACTGTAACACAAAAAAACCCAAACCCAACCTGCAAAGAATTTTACAGACTCATGATACTGATAACTTATTTACCTGCCTGGTAGGGTAATAGGTAATGGTGATATAATAAAAGGCTATTAATAATTTACATTACTTTAAAATCTTGTTTGCCTCGGGTAAGTGAAATCTCGTAGAATAAACATCAACCAGGATTTAAATAGAGGTTGAAAGAAAGAATGAGATTTTAAAATATCTGAAATCAAAGTATCTGAGAATACAAAGAAGTCATTAAAGAAAATCTTGTTACCACAGCTGGACCAAAGACTTCGGTCAATATTGAGTTTTTTTTATCATCTTACCAGTCTCTTGCACATATGCATTATTAATCCCATACTACAAACCAGTTTTTCCACAGAGAATTATGTTTAATGTCATTGCATTTCCAGAAACTCCTCAGTGTGGATACAGCTAGTTGCTAAACCCAGAAGCAAGTTAAATAACTTCAATCTTTCCTTCATGAATGGATTGAGGAATATTGTTCATTTTTAAATAGACAATCCTTAAACCTGAAGGTTTTTATTTTCTACTGTTGCTTTGCTTCAAGCCAGCCCCCAGTAAACACGCCCTAAAAAACCAGTATTGCGAACAGGAACCAATGACTACCTGCACCAAAGCCGCATTCAGTGAAAATGAAGAACTCACCCTTTAGCCTAAAACTCTTTTTTTCCCCTCAAGTAAGGATTTTGACCAAGTCATATATTCAATTTGTACTGAGGCTAACACTTTACTCACATAACACATAGCAAGTCACAAAGATATGCAGTAATCGTTCAATCTTCAACTGAAAGTCTAGTGGTCAACCATGCAAAAAAGTTATTTAACATTTTCCTCAGGAATCATTGCATTTCCATCACCAGAGTGGTTAAATTTTGCATATCATTTCAATAATAGTTTCTGGTTATGGTCAGAACATGCAGAGTCTGCATCCCTTAACACAGAACTGTGTAGGCTAACGTTCAAAGGCACTTGATTCAATCAGAATAACAAATCATCTACAGGTGAGGGCAAATTCACCAAAGTAAAGTAGACCAGAGCTGGAATACTTAAGCTAACCTGTGTGAATCATGAGCCTACAGAATGCTTAAATTAAGAAAATGGTAGTGCAAAGTGACAAAGAAACATAACTGCAAAATAAATAAATACAACCTCAGTATCTATAGATACCGTGCACAGAAACAAAGAATAAAAAACAATTCAGTGATTGCATTTCCAGTGTCTTACTGAAGATCACTGAACAGCTCAAAATCTTTTGCATTAGAAAGACATGAAATAAAATAAATCACAAATGTAAGCAAAATCAGAATAAATAAATCAAGATAGGAACATTAACAACAAGTGAAAATATAACGTAATTGCAGCAATCCGGATGGCATACCCAGGCACAAATGACATGTGTTAGCCTAAACACCCATCAGAAAGCACTTTTCAGTGGAAAAGCAAAATAGCTTGCTGAATGATTCACTCCATCTTTGGACTTACGTCACTGATGCCTTGAAACATGAGGTTGGTGGTTGGTGCTGTATTTCTTTCAAAACTTAATGTTGTAATCCCTTACACAGCAAAAAATACTTTTTGCAACCTCCCTATGCTTAATATAAAAAGCAGAAACCAAAGATGTATCAAAGATAATTTACTTTTGTGTTTCCAAATGCAAACCAAAAACACTTCAAGGGTAGAAGCTCAAAAAAACTGGGTTTATTTATTACCCAGATAAAACTGATAAAAGACATACAGCATGCAGGCCGTATGGGCAGCACTCTATTGCTACAATCACTGTTTCAGTATATGAGCTGGCAAATAGACTAACCAAGAATTCTTCTCACGGTCCACATAAATTCTTTGAAGATCCAAATACAGTGGGATCACATTGCCTAAGAACTGTATGACAGGACCTTCATTTACGTTGTTTCTAAAAATATTGTTCACGCCTCAGGAGCAAAATCCTCCCCTCAAACCTACATGACAAATTTTGCTTGGGGCAGTCTACTCTTCCTATTGATACGAACATAAACAGAAGATTGCCATGCACAAAAAAAAAAAACATATTGACAGAAACCTCAACTTGAGAGAATAGCTCCCTCCTCTGAAAGTTTCTGAAAAAGTTAAAAACAAAGAATTTGCAGTTTGATATTTGTTCCTACCTATCCAGCTTGTTTTGTTGACATTTTCTGAAACACAAATAGGTCCTATAAAGTAGCATAGTACAAGATAAAGTGAAAAATGACATCCTAAAATAAATTTTAAAAAATCAAAATGAAATAAAACTTGGTAGTGTGATTTATACTGACAACAGTGGAGGTTACTACAAAGACATTCTGCTGTAACATAAACATTTCGACATCATCTGTAGAATTTTTCAAGGAAGTATGCACACCATTAATCTCACAAGCAAAACTTGGAACCATATTACTTAAAAGCAACATAAAACTCCCTTAGTTTACCAGAACGCTAATGCTGCAATTTTCAAAGAGGCTCAAATAACTGACATGCTCAAATATGATCCAAATATGAGCACACAGCTCAAATGATTTTTATTTTTTTTAAACACCTTTCATTACAGATTTCCCAAAGCCTAAACACATCATAATTCCTTCTGCAAAGACAAGTTTTTAATTATTACATTACCTTTCTCATAAAGCTCCTCCATTGCTCTCCAGGTTTCAGCTCGAACCTCCTGATTGCTTTTACCTGGAAAATGAGTATCCGGCCAGTGTATCAAATAAAGATCTGGAAAAGAAATGGTATCGAAGTCTTCAAAAAATGCCAAATCACGTGAAGCAGCACTTTCCCTCCACAGAGGCCTCTAACATACTATTATCAAAACACAACTCCATGATCATTACCAAATACATCCACTCAGTTTTAATAAATTAAATCCTATAAGAATTTATTAGTAAGAAAAGGTGGCCGAAGTTGCACTTTTGCTTCAGGCTCAGGTTACTGTAACTAGAATTTCATGGTCATGTTAGCATAAGCTTTCAACATATAACAGGTCCCATTTAAATTAAAGGGATTTTGGTCATTAGTTTATTAAGACTTGACTACCACTGCAGTGCTACAAGTCTTGAAGTTCAGAGAAGGTAACGTTGCTCAGCACGCAATGTTGGCATCATTCTATGACACTTCTTGTAATTTGGGCTTTTTTTTTTTACAATAAAAAATACTTTGCAATTAGAAACATACACATTCAGGACTAGAAAGCATCTATGGATCACAAAATATAGCCCTTCTGACTGCAAGAAGAGTTCGTTGAAGTGGGGAAATGGTACCTTATCTCTGATACACAGGGTAAAATAGTCTTTCTGCCAGTCATGCACTAACCACCACAGCACAGCTAGCCGTGGAAGAATAGCAGAATATAGCTATAAGATACAGAACTGCCACTGTATTTGAGTAAACTAAGCATAGCTATTTTAAACGAGAATCTGTGTACTTCCAATGCGTGTCAGAAAACTTTCCATAACACCTCTGGAGCGATAAGAGCAATAAGCACCTCACAAACCAAACTCTACCATTTCACCTTCGTTCATACACACATTCACACCTGCACCCACATATTTTCATTTGCTGAAGGTATTTCTTCCTCTGGGGGACTACATGAACAGAAAACCTTCTAATTTCAGAGGCAAGAAATGAGTTTATAATAATAATCAAAACAGCTTAATATTAGTCAAGAATTGTATAGCTATCAGTGGCCGTTTTTAGGAACAGACTACATTTTTTATCTGCTGAGAATGACACGGACATAGACTTTGCTTTTTTGTAGAGGGACAAAGAAATACTCTGAGGTCTCTTACAACCATATTCTTAATAAACCTAACTCAAAATTGTAAGTAATGATTCATGCTATCAGGATGCACTTAAGAAAATCACAACTGACTGCTATATTTACCAGCTTTTTAAAGCATGCTTTACAGACAATCAAGTTATGGTGGTGCAGTACTAATTGAGGACCTAAAGTTCAAATGTCAAAACACAGCTGCAGGAAAACTAACCTTCACACGAGAACAACTTTCACACATTTAAAACAGAGTAGTTTATGACTACTTAGTGGTTGTGGCACCTACAGATAACACAATTTCTATTAATTCAGAAGTAAAGGGACTTTTCACATTTAAAGGGCACAGAAATTAAAGTCTACGATTCTATTCAAATTGCTAACATTACGTATATGTATATATAGTGATCAGCATGAAGCAGCCTCCAAAACATTCTGTATCAATTCATGATCTGAATTGGGTGTATTATCATCACTGGGATGCAAGAAATTATCAAGACGTGGTACACCAAGTGTGCTGATACAACCAAGATAAGTCCAGTTCCAGCTGTGCATCTGGGATAGGTTAAATTTGGTTGGATCTGACAGAATCAGAACAGGCAGAAGGAAAAAAATTGTTTATGAACTCAGTTACCCACAAATCACATTCAAGAAGTTACTTTGAAGGTTTGATCTAAATCCCAAGGAATGTATTCTGCTGCTGCCAAACCCATAAGATTTGCTGCCATTTCTTACTGGTTTACAATGACTGCTAGTTGGAGTACCACATTTAGAAAACAGAAGAAGAATCTCTGTTATAACCAGTGCCCACAAATTAAAAAAAATATATCCAGTTTCTCATGGATATTTAATCTACTGATTCAAACAAAAACCCTGGAACACTGCTTTCCTAATACCATTTGCCCAAAAGCACCTATGAGAGAAGTTTTGTAACAGTATTGACATGGAATAATTTCTCTTAAAAAGCAGTGACTGCCTCCTATCAGTTTCACAGATTTATCCATTAGCATTATATTACTTTTTGGTGTGGCTACATGGACCCTCAAGGACACGAGTGGAGCTTTCCTTGGGACAAAGACCTTCACTGCACAGTTGGCTGCCAGGCTCCTATAGATCTGTAGCTCTGAAGGTCTGCAAATAAAGGTGCAACTTCACATTATGTTACTTAGAATCTTACAAGATATATGAATCAAGTATTCCTATGGAAATACTGTGAATATGCATGTATTTGGTTAACATATGATGAAATCAGGAAATCTAGAGCAATACTCTGCTCTGCTTTCCATGCTTTACTTCAAGAAAAACTGCTGGCTTTAACAGATGCTTGAAACTAAATAATTTACTTTCCTAAACAAGCCTAGACATAAATAGCCCTGCTATTACTACAACTTTTCTTGAACAAAAAGAGAGCAAGGGTATCTAAGTTTAGGTCCACAAGCTTATAACTGTATTTTCCAACTAGTTTTCTGCATTTTTTCTGTAAGTCTCAAAACGTTCAACAAAAAGCTCTCGGCTTTCTTAAATCACTTGAAATGTTCACGTTTCAACATATTGCTACTTTCTGCTTGAAAATCCCTCCAACAGTACTTTCCACTGGGTCTTTTCAGACAGGAGAAACACAGAACCTAAAGCAGGATGCTTTTTACAAAACCATGAAACACATTGTGAATTTTACCTCCTTTCAGGGTCTACTTCACCAGCACGTGTAGCACAGAACATAGAAACTCAGTTGCACCTCTTTCACACAACCACAGAATAATTATTACGCAGCCTTTTCTGTCTTCCCATCCTTCTTGTAAAGGTCACCATCCTCACTGACAGATCCATGAATTTCACATGAAATATTCCCTAACACATCACAGTTTATAAATTGTTAAGTTCAAACAAACTTAGTATTAATTTAGCTCACTATTTCTGACTAATTGGTCAGTCAGGAAGAGCTTTATAAATTACTGAAACATTAGCAGAAGAAAGGAAAGGAAGAAAAGGAGAGAAAATAGACAAGTGGGAACAGAAAATGAAGAGTACTGAACAGTGGGGCACATTGTGCAGGCACCTGTAATAACTCTTAAATTTGTCTCAATAATGTGAGCAAAAGACGTCTCAGAGCCAAACACAGAATGAAGTTCTGTTTATTCCAGACAAAGGATTCTCTCATTTGACAACAATATTAGTGCAATTCTTGCTCCCACATTTTTGTCCCTTCAATTCCTGCTGAACCATGGAAGCCACGTCTAAAGTGAGATTTTCCATGAGCACAGACTTTAATCAGTCTACTTACTACCTGAGAAAATAAAAGCAAATTAGAGTACCGAGAGAAATCACTGAGAAAGATTTCCTGGAAGTGAGTCAAGTTTTCCTCTCATTGGCATTCAGCACCAGTGCCACAGCAAGCAGAGGAAAAAAGAAAGCAAACAAAACAAGTAGAAAGAAGAGAGAAAGAAACATGCTATTTCTTAATTTTGAGGACAGAGCTAAGGATTGGAACACTGATCATGAAAATCCTCTTGTAGTAACTTCTATTTGCACAAGACTGAGATAGAGATATTAATTCATTCTGCTTTATTCTGTGGTTGTGCAGGAAGCTCAGGAATACATTTCCACAAGGAATAGAGCCAAAAATATGCATTTTTGTTTCCCTATTAAAAAAATATTGCCAAGTCTGTGAATTCGTGTTCTTCCACAGGTTTGTGGTGTTTTCAGCAAAAAAATATAGCTCTAATTTATTTAGTGAATACTCAAATTAACAATGAAATGTACTCTTACAAAAAAAAAAAAAAAAAAAAAATAAAAAATGTACCTTTTTCCATTTTAAAAGATGTGCAACAAGGAAAAATTCTGTACTCTCAGTTACATGTACATAAATTTCCTCAAGAACAGAAGAAATCTGTGAATGTGTAAATTAGGGCAGAGTTTGGCTCTTACAATCTATCTGCAACATAACATTCTTTCCAGAACTCATTTATCTTTCTCATCTCTACTCACATGGCAGGTATAGCAAATAAGCTATATGAAAAATGCATACCAAGATATTCAACACCAAGCCTTTCACATGACTCCAAGCAGGCTTTTTTTGTGTTTTCATAGCCATAATCACTGTGCCACAGTTTGGTAGTTATCCAGAGGTCCTCCCGCTTCACACCACTTTCTTTGATAGCTTTTTGGAGGAGAGATTCACAGCCATATCTTTTTGCTGTGTCAATATGACGAATGCCGCACTGCCGTAATGCATGGACCACAGCATCATGGGAATAGCCACCTTGATGGGAAGTACCTAAAGGAAGTCAGAAGTGAAAGGTGAGCAACATATTTCATACATTATTTTGTTTTATAAGCATTGCCTCAGAATGTTGTTACTGAATTGCCACTTCACAACAGTAAAGAAATGGGAACTGATGAGCAGCGTGCCATACAGATCTCTAGGATGGGAAAACACATAAGATGCTACAATGCTGATGCTGGTCAGAAGTAACCCCAACAGAATCAAAGATGAACAGTAAAGAAGTGGGGTCATGGATGAGGATGAAGACCATAAAAGAAAACAGACACATAAAAGAAAAGAAAAGACCATAAAAGAAAATCCATATGTGACATTTAGTTTTCAAACAGGAGCACAAGATTTTCAGATAAAAATATTAACAATTTGAAAATTATATATATAACTTGAAAACAACTCACTCTGCAAAAAGCATACCCTGAAACATTTACTCTGTTGATCTCCTTGAAGCTCCTCCTGGTAGCTTCAAGATATTACTGCACTGTACAACCCCAGGCTGGGCCAAACCACAGGTGCAATTCACATAATGTCAAACTCAGAAATACCCAAAACAACGCAATCTTACACAAGAGTTAGAGATGGCTATACAGGGAGTCTTGGTAACAAAGTACTGTAACTCTCATTGCGTAGATATTCACTGGATGTACAAAAAAGTGTATTTCACTTGTCAAGGGGACGGAAGGAGGAGGAGACTTGGCAGGAAAAGCAGTCAGCAGGAGGACTGCCAGATAAAGAATTGGTTGAGAGCATAGAGGATGGTATTTCTCCTTACCCTTTCCTGTTAGTTGTTTTTTTTTTTGCCATGAGCCCCTCACCCACTCACCTCTACTCAGACTTCTCACAAACAGTATTTTCTACAGTTTGCTTGAGGAAATGCTCAGTCAGCCTAAGTCACTGACTAAAGCAAGCTTCTAAGATGATGACTTGTATTTAAAGGCCCAAATTCCAGAAGCAGCAATAAGCGTGCAGATGGTTATGGCATTAACTTCAGGAGGGCCCTGTGCAGTTGTGATGGATAACAGCACCAAGCTCTTGAGCCTCTGCTGAATTTAATACATACAGGAATCCAGGTCAAAGAAAATAAAGTGAAATTTGTCTCCAGCTGTTAATTTGCTCCTTCACTCCACACATAGCATTTATTTCTAGATTAAGCACATCATGAAATTATTAAGCGTGTAAGTCCAACCAAATCAGAAAGAGTAGAGAAACAACTATCTTACGCTCATCCTTAGAATTTTCCATGCCTGGACTGGAGGGAGGATGCCCATAGTAATGTGTGCGACTTCCTCGCACACATTGTGACAATGCAGGCAAGAACAAGCACTTACTTATATTTTATTTATATAAAACAAGCCAAGTCTCCTAAATGCTTATTATTTTTTAAATTCCCGATCTTATAAGTCAAGTCTATGTTATTTCTATAATTTGCTCACCGCTGGTAGAACACTTAAGATATAATAAAAGTGCATCCAGAGGAGGGCCACAAAGACAACTGGAACACCTCTCTTATGAAGACAGGCTGAGGGAGCTGGGCTTGTTTAGCTAAGAGAAGGCTATGGGGAAACCTCACTGGGGCTTTCAGAACTTAAAGGGAGCTTACAAGCAGAAGGGGGGACCAACTTTCTACCTGATCTGATGGACAAGGACAAATGTCTTTTAACTAGAAGAGATTTAAGTTAGATTTTTGGAGGAAATTCTTTACTCAGAGAGCGGTGAGGCCTTGGCACAGACTGCCCAGAGAAGCTTGGATGTTCCACCCCTGGAGGCATTTAAGGCCAGGTTGGATGGGGCTCTGGGCAGCCTGACCTAACTGCTGGCAACCCCACCCATGTCAGGGGATTGATCTTTAAGGTCCCTTCCAACCCAAGCCATTCTATGGTAATATGATCTAATCTGGCACACAAAGACTTAGAGAATCATGATATTCTACTCACAACAGGACAATCCCTGGTTCATACTTGATTACTAAACTTAGAGTACTGGATTCTTCACTGATTTCAGAGTGATAAAACAATGCTACTATATTCCTACAATTTTGACGTGCTCAATTTTAAACAAAGTTTAAGTGTTTTAAAAGACAAAACTTTAAAGCTCTTTTCTCCAGTCACTGACAGACACTGCAACTGGTTCAATTTCTGCATCATCTAGCAATCATTTCTCTGTAACTTGTTTTACACCAAAAAGCATAAGTTAAATTGCACTTCCAAAACTGCTATTTCAAACTCTTAATAAGTGGTTTTAGATTAAAGCAATGCTAATCTATATGCACGTTCTATACATGTAATTTTTTCAATATTCAGATACTAAAGGAATTTTATTGAAAAATTATACAACTAGAATTTTAAAAAATTACTACACTTTTACATAAAAATCCCTTATAATAAGCTGGTATTAGTGCCAAATAAATTAGGTTGTAATTATTATGCCTGTTTCTGGCTGAATGGACTTCTCCAAGCACAGAATGAATGGAGTTCATTTAGAGGTCTGGCAAATGGACTCAGTCTCTTTTCATGCATAATAGATTTCAGCAAGAACATTGAGGACAGTTTTGTTGGCTTTTTTTTTTTTTTTTTTTTTTTAAAACATTAACCCTTTTAAGGTAAGGGGAGAGAACAGGAAAGAAGGGGAAAGGAGAATATATCTGTTATTGTTCCCCATTCCATGATGCATACTTGCTTCAAGGAAAATAAAGTAACAAAGATTCACTTGAGGAAACGATCCCAACTGCTACACCTGCAACAGTTCCAATTCACTACATAAATCAATGTGTAATAGTTTTCATTTAATTTTTTCCTCAAAAAGGAATCAGAACCTACTTTCCCTCTCACTTTCTGGAAGAACATGTCTTCACACTCTCTGAGAAATATGAAGATATTATTTATCTAAACATATTACAAACTTCCTCTGATATAAGTAATCACTGCTACTTGAAATCAGCAGAACCACTTAATTTAGGAGAGTCCATATTAATGAAACTACAGGCTGAATAGAGATCATTTCCCTAACATCATTTTGCAGTACTAAATTAAAACCCAGCTGACAAACAGAACACCTAGAAAACATCCATTCTTCCGTACTTTTTTTTTTTAAATCTTTAAGTAGACATTTCAGAAAAAGAATCTAAAAAAAAATATATCATTTTATCAATGTTTACGTACTCGTTGTATGCATATGGTGTTGTCTACTATAATGAGCTTGAAATAAGCTTAGTCTATTAATTTTATTTCTATCATTCCGACATTACATAATAATCGGGTCACAATCTCTGTTGATGTGATATAATAAATTCATTCAAGTTTTTGCTATCAGTACATTACTAACTTCTGATGATAAAACATAAAGCATTACTTATATGTGCGGCCAATGAACATACAGCACATTTCAAGGTTCACTGCTCATCCATTCACAGAACCGCACGCCCGTTCCACAGACTGGCTCACGGACAGGCAGTCCTTCCTCATCATCACTGCTTAATGCTATTGAAAGAGGCAGCCACAGTCTTCCCTCCTTGTCTTTCACCTACTTCTGTATTCATATGACCCCTGACAAACTGATTCAAACTGTTGAACAGACAAAAAGAAAACGTTCACTTTATGATCGCCAAGGGAGCTGAACACCTTCCAGAGGAAGAACCAGAACAAAATTTCAAGAGATGGGGAGAAAAACTGAGCAAGTAAAACTCCTCTTGAGCAGCAGTAGCTAAGTTATTAGATATACTTTTTTTTTAAAGCTTTTAGATAAACATTTCACTACTTTTTTAAGAGTAGTATTCAAGCCAGCCACAAAATAATCTGAAAGTCTTTCTCTGTGAACTTGTCTCCTCAACGAACACATTATACTGTGATAAACACAAGTTTATCCAAACCATGTCTATGCAAGGGCACAGCTGTATAAAAGCTGCAGAAGTAACTGCATGTTGTGACGTTACAACCCTAAAGGCCCAGTGTAGTGCTGTAACTCTGACCAACAGGTGCTGCTGCATATGGTTTTGTGTGAATACGGTGCAAGAGGAGCTGGAGCAGTTGAAGCATGTGTCAAAGAGAAGTACACAAGCGTCATCTTCAGCTCTGCAATTCTGCTCAGGCACCAAGGAGCAGACTACAAGAACACAGCCTGGCCACGGTGTAAGAGTAGTAGAGAGCCGTAACACATTTATTGTGTGTGCAGGGAAAGGGAAGCCAGAATTGCTTGTTTTCGCTCTTCCTGAGAGGAAGGAAGAAATGGCAGTGAGCCATTGTTGACAGAAGTACTGCGTCCCTTCCACCCCACAGAGGGTCTGGCTGTGAAGGAAATTCAGATCACCTACTGCTAAACTGAGCTACTTCTCTGATCACTGACACACTATTCATCTAGCCAGAACTTCAGAAAAGGAGTTACAACAGCAGTTTTGCATACTTCCAACATTAAGCACATGAGCTTTGCAAGCTGCCCCTATTTTCACTGGGATACTGTGGCTCTGAAATCACCACTACACAGAAGTAAAAAATATCATTCAGAAAAGGATTTTTTTGCCTCTGCATGAATAAAGATATTTCCGATGAAAAATGCCAACTATTTCAATCATGCAGCTGTCATACACAAGTATTCTTATCATTGAGAACTTCTCAACTAAATTTTTATGGAAGGACAAATCAAAAACCTAACCTACACATTTGAAAGGCAGACTCTGAATGTGTAATTCATGTACAAATTTCATAAGCAGAGCAGCAGCACACATTTAAATGCCTTTCCAGACAGACTGCCAAATCTTGAAGCCTTTTCTTTCACTCCACACTTTCCCACCACCGTGAGAACTATTTCTCATTAACAACCAAATTGGTTTCAGATGCTCTGCTATAAGATGTTACCTTAGAAACCGTTTGGTAAAAGACTGTGGCTTCCTTCCATAGAAATCTCAAGCAGTGAAAAGACAGATTTTCTGGCATAAATCAAATCCAATTTCTAGGGTTCACTAAACCTTTTCTCCTCAGAATAACGTTTTGTGACTAGATCTTAGC